GGCAGATAAAGAAGCATGTGAAAGAATGAAAGTATCAGTGGCGATGAAAATAAACTGATGTAAATACTTTGATACCGCCCTCGCTCGTCATTTGCTACTTTTGTGGGGAGAGCTTATGATATTGTTGAAATAAATAAGCCACGTGTACTTTTCGATTTAGCTAACTAAACCTAACGTGTCGCGGACCCGTCTAGGGACCTTTTCGCCACACTTCAAGCGTTTTATCGTCCTCTCTTGTTTATTTTCTTTACCAATTTTAGTGCAGCCACTTTTGACTCGGCGAATAATCGTAGGCCGAAAAATGGAGTATGGCAATCGGAGCGGGCGAGGCAGAAGGACTTTCCGATATGAGGGACGCCGGGTTTCGTCTGATCGGAAGAGTAATCGGGAGAGTAATCGGGAGAAAATCGTACTGTACAGAAAACAAAACATATTCAGATAAAATAATATAATGTATGCAATATNGCTGCAAGTCGCGGAGGTACCGAGTGTTCAACACGTGGGGAATGTTGTAAATATGACAAGGACTCGAAGGTAGAGTTTCTTTCAGGGATGTTAAAAACATTTTCACTAACGAATTTGGCCATCGAGTGGGGAAAATTCTCCCGAAGGAAAGTTGTGAGAGACGATTCAGTAGGTTTCGAGTCGTGCACCTCAACTCAATGACGGAGCCCGAAAAATCCAATAGAGTATTAGGAAATGATCCGAGTATTCGCCTAACGCAAAGATGATTATCCGCCGATTCCGATAAAAAGAGCGTCATTCCGATCGAGTCGTGCCCTTCGCGCATCGTGTAATTCACAGGCCACGCGGATAGTGAAGTTCATTTTGTGAATAAAAAACAATCGGCTCCTTTCGGAGACGTGTAATGTTAGAGTGCAACAACGACAGTGTAAGTGTTTGAAAATTTTTAAGTGAAAAGTGACAGTGGTGTAATGAAATTGAGTTTGTGTATAAAAATCAATCGGCTGCTTTCAAAGACGTGTATTGATAGGACGTAGGAGCAACAATCTTAGTGTGTTAAAATTTTTAAGAGTGATCGTGCGGTGGATTGCGAGGTTCCTTCCCTGGACAGAGGATCAGCTGTGGCCTACCTGCGAGCGGCAAGGACGCTGACCCATTGACCGTGGCCCATCGTTAGCAGGTGCACTTGCGAATGAATGGGTAAGTCTAAATCTCTACAGTTTTTACATTTTCTTTTTAATTCAATATTCCCCGCGACTTGTTAATCCTATCATCATCCATCAATTATCAACAATCTATCATTTCTCCATCCATTGCACGTGAACAACGATTAAGTGTATTAATTGTTATTCATAATAGTGCACGAACAACAATTTCCTTGCATTGTTATTCATGTAGTTTGTTAAACGCTTCGTACTGAGCGGAGCGCTTGTTCAAACGCGTGAAAAGCCGCCCGGCCGGATCGGAGCCAACGCTCCCGAGCCGGAGCGCGCGCGAACCGAGCGCTCTGATTGGTCGGTGTTTTTTGTTAATAACTCCTCAACCACGCTTCGGACAAATTTTTCGCAAAGGAAAATGTTGTTTAAAATCATGTCAGGAGCCTCCCATTAAAATTCCTTACACTAGTTTTGGGACACCCTGTATTTGGTGCGTCGCGTGTGCACCTGAAACACGCCAAATTAATATTGTGTATCTAGTTCACGATGGAAATGGACTGTATTCTTTTCTGGGACTGAATCTGTTTTCGTCTCGAACGAATGTCGTGAATGTCTGATGTCGTATTGACCGAATGTTGTCAACTGATTCTCTTCCGACCGACCGATGTCGAATGACTGACCCGGTCCCCGACGCTTGTCCTGACTTTGGGTTTTTTACCCCCCTTTTCCTTGTCTCGCGAATATTGTCCTTCTTAAAAAATACATCCCCACTACCTAGCGATGTGGGACCTAGGTTTCCCGAAACATGCGGAGCCTTCGAAGGGATCGGAAAATTCTTCCAAGTGGTTGCCGCATGACGGACCACTAAGCCGGACGGTTGCTTAATACCCTTCGGAACCCTAGTTTATGGCAAGGCTGGTTATTGAGGCACGAGGGAAAGCAAATAAAATTGACAAAAATTACATGGCATGCTGTTAACCAGCCGTTATGAAAATAGAAAAGAGCTTGAATCCTCAAAAATAACCTTTCAGCACGTACTCGCCATAAACTGTCCCAAACGAAATCTCCACTTTTTACACTATTGTTCCCTCGAACGGAACAATATTTATTCAACTAGATTAATACTTAGAATACAAACAACTCTCTCTCGCGTAACATAGAATTCTCTCGATACTCTCACTACTACGTTCTCGTACGCAATGCCCTTTTTGGCCGCTCGTACCCCGATGTGTTTTCTCAGTTTTCCTCCCTTTACTTTCTAAAAAGTGCCCACAGTTGGGGTAAAGTTGCCAAAATGTCTGCAAGCCAGATTTTGACCATTGACCCTGTCGTAAAACATTTCCTTGGCCAACTACCTGGCTAGTTCGAACATTCTGCACTCCCACATATATAATTAATATAAATGCTTAAAACGTGTCAACGAAGTCCACATTTCTTGGCCGTGCGCGCGAGCATTCGCGAGAGAGAGGAAAATGAAGTCAAAGTGGGAGTGTTAGAAGTATCATTGACTACATTTGTACATTCCGACATCTCCTTCATGTGGCGAATGTCGGTACGACAGACATCGTCGTTGTCGGCGGAGCCGAGCGTCGCCAGCGCTCTGTCCAATTTTCATGTACTTGAAAGTCCAATTCTGGACGTATAACGTATAAGACTTGAGATGTGAGAACACACGTGCAAATATAAAGTTTTGTAAAGCGAAAGAAAATTTACGGAGTTGTAGGGAGAGACAAAGTATTTATATATATATTTATATGCTTTTCGTAAATAATAAAACAAAGATAAAGAGATAATTTGGAGTCTAAATCCCCTACAAATTGGTGACCCCGAATAAAAGCGCGTAACCTCACATCGAGCCAAAGAGCACGTGGTCGCTAAAAAAATAAAATCGGCCAAAGAGTGCAGTTATGTCCGTCGCGCATTCACCGACGAGGAAGGACGTTCCGGAAAAAAATGCTCTCCACGAGCAGGAGGTAGAAGAGGAGAAGGAGGACGTCCCAAATGCTGTTCCGAACGTGCCGGTGAGGTACGTGGAAGTGAACGAATTTCAGAACGTGCGTATAACGACCTTCTGGCACGAGACGCCGAAGCTCTGGTTCGCCCAATTAGAGGGCGAGTTCCAACTCCACCGAATTAAGTCGGATGATACGAAATACAGCGCGGTAGTCAGGCACCTAGATCAAAAGATAATGAAGACGGTCGCTGACATTTTGGAAGCCCCGCCAGCGAAAGATAAGTATCAGACATTAAAGGATGCTTTAATAAGCCGGTTCACAGAGTCTGAAGAGCGACAAATGAGGAGGTTGCTAACAGGGATTGAGCTAGGTGATAAAAAACCGTCGGGGCTCCTCAGAGAAATGAGGCTACTCGTCGGAGGCACAGGAGCAGATCGTTTCCTAGCGTCTCTGTGGATGCAAAGACTTCCGCAACGTATACAAGAGGTATTATCGGTGCTGCAAGATATGGAGCTAAATAAACTAGCGGAAGTCGCCGATAAAGCTATGGAGAAAACGGAAGCGGCGTGTATAGCCATGGTAAGTCCAGGACCAATAGCTAACAATAGTGCTAATCAGACGTCCTTAGACACCATCGTGACGTTACTGCGTCAAGCTAGTGAGCTGACCATCCAAACACAGCAGTCAGTTAACGTAATGGTCGAAGCGTTAGGCAAACTTTCGCCGCATCAGGGTCGATCCAATCAGCGTAATCCGAGATGGCATGGCAGAAGGGGCCGTTCTAGGTCTGCTTCAAGGTCACGCACAGGATTGTGCTACTATCACGATCGGTTTGGGACACAAGCGTGGAAGTGCCAACAACCCTGTCAATGGAGAGGGGAATTGGCTCCTGCCCCTGCTCCTGTCCCTGCTCCCGCTTCCCAGGGAAACTAGAGCCGCCGTCCCAAGTCGCGGCTGTTGAGGACGGGCAAAGCCCCCAAAGCCGCTTAATTATAACGGACCGATCAACCGGTATCAGGTACCTAATAGACACTGGCGCCGACGTTTCAGTTCTGCCAAAAACAAGAACGGAGACGAAACGATCCCCGGACGAATATAAACTTTTTGCGGCAAATGGCACACCAATCGATACGTATGGCACGAAAGTGATCATGGTCAACCTAGGCCTACATCGTGCTTTTAAATGGGAATTTATCGTAGCCAATGTCGGCCATCCCATTTTAGGAGCAGATTTCCTGCGACACTTCGGCCTCTTGGTAGATTTGAGGCATAACAGGTTGCTGGATGAAACGACAAAGTTATGTGCAATCGCTGATGCAATTAGGACGGAAGTACCGACGGTACTGACAATCGACAGTACCAAGAGATATCAGGAGCTACTGCGGGAGTATGTTGATATTACAATGCAGAGGAAGGTCAAAGGCGCCGCTCACCCCGTTCAACACTATATATTGACCAACGGCCCGCCAGTCCACGAAGCGGCACGTCGCCTCACTCCCGAAAAGCTCAAAGCTGCGAAGCTCGAATTTGACTTTATGCTGCAGCATGGGATCTGTCAACCATCCAGAAGCCCATGGGCCAGCCCATTGCACTTAGTAAAAAAGAAGTCTGGTGAATGGAGACCCTGCGGGGATTATAGACGTCTGAATCGAATCACGGTTCCCGATAAATATCCGATTCCGCATATCCAAGACTTTCGACATCTCGTGTACTACGCCCCATTCTCTCTATTTCTTACCGTGCGTACATGTTCATGTTCATAGCCATTGTACTGTGACATTTTCTTGTTCAATAAATCGCTTCATATTTAACGAATCCTGTGTAAAGGAGTTTTGGTCTGCGCTCATTTTAACATAATTGAAGACAAGTAAAATGGAATTTAGTTGGAAGTGCATCTTCGCTGGAATTTCATGCATCGACTTACCAATGGTGTGAACAATTCCCTTTCGGTGGCAACGAGCTTCGTCGCGTCTATCGTCTTTAGAAACTCGACGACAACCTCGGGTTCGATCGAATGCTCGCCAAGTTTCGCGGCAAGTTGGTACACACGTTCCTTGGGATCCATGGTTGCGAGAGCCCATGGATTAACTGCTACTCCGCTCTGTGCGATTGCCTTGTGGAACAATCCTATGGACACCAAGGTCGTAGAACAGAATTTTGGATTTCTAGTTAACGAAGCAAATAAAGCACGAGACTTAATGACGCAAACATAACGGGCGAGACATTGTGCTCATAGAATGCATAATGAAACATGCTCGGCTATTCAGAAAGTCGAATCGACATAACAAGCTGGAGTATCACTTGTAAAGAATTTTTAATCGTTAGACTGTAGAATAATGTATCTAAATTGTGAATCTAGAATTCTAAAAGTTAATCTCTTCTTTTTAAGAATAATAATATGCATTTCATTTTTGTTCTGCACGTCTTTGAACGTAGGTTTTTCATTTTTCTATACATGAATTTTGCAATATCACAAATGCTTTAGAACATACCCTCAGCCAAAGGAGATATTGTTAGATAATGCACGGAGGCTGAACCAGCGCTTTCTCCAAAAATCGTGACGTTGTCAGGATCCCCACCAAAACTGGAGATGTTCTCCTTTATCCATCTCAGGGCCATCACTTGATCCTTCAGGCCCTGATTCCCTGACGCCACTTCGTGATCTACGTTCAGAAAACCTATCGCAAGGCGAAATAGTAAAACCTGTATAATGTGAATGTTATAGCAGTTCGATGTATAAAACGCGTATAGTTGGTTTTATTCATTCCCTTATTTATTCATTTATTTATTTATTTATTGATTTATTAATGATATACGAGTTTGTAAAACCCATTGAAATACAGAAACAAAACGAAGTGAGAACTAAATATAAAATATAAAACTAAAATACTGTTGTGACGGATTGAACATGCCGCGCAATGCTTCGACGTGACATCGTTGAGAAGTGTGAAGATGTTTCGCAACGATGTGAAACTGCCACTGAGAACGAGCGGAACCGAAGGGCTCGGTTTCCGGTTGCTATTGAAGAACCAGCATCTATTTTGAACCATGAGAACAGCGCGAGACCTCGATCTATCCGGACGTGTTATCTGACTTTCTGTTATTGGTTCTCAAATACAGCTTTGAGTTATTGTTTCGTTTATTAATTTAACTGTTATTAATGAGTTGTTCGCGAAATATCACTCCCCGGCGCAACAATATCATATACACGGTATCCCAGAACTAGTGTTAGGTCTTCAGGTTCAAAGTCCTGTCCCAAAAGCCCCGTCAAAAAGTTGTGCAAGACGTGGTTTTCGAGTTATTAACAAAAATCCCTAACCAACCAGAGCGTTCGTATACAAGGCGGGCAGGTGCGCAATAATCGCCTCGTGCGTTGCCGCGGCCGTATGCCACGCTCGTGACGAAAACATAGGATTAAAACAAAACTGACATGCAAGAGCAACTAAGAAATTGATTAAATATCAGAGAAAAGAAAGCAATTAGTCGTTTTTTATGTTCACTGAGTAGATGCAACATATTCAATGAGATAACTAACAACTTTATAAATTACACAGTAGATAAACCATAAAAAATGGGAAAAGAATTAGAGTGTAACTTAGTCGTTCGTTTTTAAGTTCACCTGCTCCTCGAAGAATTTTAGTGGGTCAGTGTGCCGAAGCCTGACACTCGAAAATAAAACATATGGCCATGTCAGTGACCTGCTCTAAACATCACTGCTGCCCATATGTTTTATCTTCAAGTACTGGGATTCACACATTGACCCAGTGACGTTCTTCTAGGAGCAGATGAACTTAAAGACGAACGATTAAGTTCAACTCTAATTCTCTTCCCATTTTTTATAATCTTAGCTACTCTGTAATTTATGAAGTTGATAATTATTTCATTGAGTATGTTACATTTATTCAGCGAACGTAACTAACGAGTAATTGCTTTGTTTTCTGTAATATTTACACAATTTCTTAGTTGCTCTTGCACGTAATTTTTGTTTAAATCCTACGTTCTCGTCATGAGCGTGGCATACGGACGTAGCAGTGTCGAAGGCAGTTGTCGCTCCCCTATGCGTTCGCTATACGGGCACTCTGATTGGTCGCGGTTTTTCGTTAATAACTCGACAACCACGCCTCGGACAATTTTTTTGCAAAGGAAAATGTTGTTTAAAGTCACCACAGCTTCTCCTCATTTGAAGGCCTAACACAAGTTCTGGGACATCCTGTATAAAATGTAACAATGAAAAATAATTAAATAACTGAGAGTGGTGTAATACTATAGTAGGTGAAATAAACAGTCAAGTATAATCCATTTGAAGAAACGGCTGATAATATACTTGTGGTTCTATATAGATTTGGAGAAAGTATAGAGTGGGCAAAATTTACCATCCTATTTATTGTATTATAATATGTACAGAGTGCGTTAATGTTCAACAAAGAAGAATTCGTGTTTTCTGAAGACTTGAGTTGGAACGTTAATTTTGAATTTAGCAATTAAGTCAGGGCAAGGTGTACTACCATAATCTTATAAGCAAGAGAGATTTTCAAGGTTTTCTTTTTGTTTGAAGATTAACAATTAAAAGATTTAAGAACATTACTCGGCCTTGATAACTGCTGGAAATCACGACATTATTTATAACAGGTTATAAGAAACGGTGTAAGGTTTCCAAGACTCTGTCGAGCCATTCGATAGAAAGTGGCGCTTTAGAGGCGAATGTATCGTATTGAGCAAACACGAATTGAAGGATAAAATAAAGTGTTAGGAATCAGAATATACTTTAACTAGTCAGATAATTAAGCCCATTAAGTTATTGCTAAGTTGAAGAAAACAATACACATTTTCAAAGATTATAAACGCTTCCCACGCGGTCTCGGAGGCGGGATATAAAAATAAATATGTATAGTTTCATTTCTCCTAATAAAAATTAAAAGAAATTGATGATTCATAGAGATGAGAAATTCATTGAGATGATTCATGAGAAAATGATGTTAGATCAGTAGAATGGCAAGAACGAAACCTTCGTTTCTCAAGGGGAAGGAAAACAAAGTGTCTGTAAGGAAAAAAAGAGGAACCATTATGGAAACCGCAAGCAAAAGAGAGAAAGTGAGTGCAAAAGGTACATCGTATGAGAATGAAAAGGGGTTAAGAAAGGTTAAGAAAGTAGAAGGGAATCCGACAGTAGATATGATAAGAATGGACAAAAATAAAGAAAATATAAAGAACGCAGCACAAATTGGGAACAAACAATCGTGCTAGACATGTATAGAGAAGACAGACGAGAGAGAGATCAAAATATTTGAAAATGAAGATACAGAAGAATATGTAATAGAATTCGTAGCAAGAAATTCCAGATTGAATAATAATATGGGGAAAAATGCCATCAAATTCTACAGATAATTAAATGAGTTTAAGAAAGATTTGATAAACTGGCTAACAAATTTAAAGCAAAGATAACATTATCGTATAGAAGAATAGCGAATGAAATTATCCTAATATATAAAAAATCGTGAAGATTTTAAACCATACATTCCAAGAATAATGGAGGATAGATCGGGGTGATCTTCGATTGGGATGGCCCACTAGAAAAGCTGATAAAAGAGATTGGACAAGGACAAATACGTTTTGAAAGATTGAAAAAGTGCACAGTTAAAAACGGTAAAATGGAGGATGGATAGTGGGTCAAACTATTCTGGCCTTTCGAGGATCTCTACTCTCTATCCATGAAGATAATGCTTAGCGGAGGTATAGTTTGTAATAGTCAAACCTTACGTAAGAAATATCAAGCAATGCTACAAATGTTTGAAATTTGGTCATATACAAAAATTTTGCAAATCAGCATGAGAAAATACCAAAATTGTGGTAAACAAATGCACGGAGATTGTAACAGACCCACAAAACGTTTTAATTGCAAGGGGGAACATAGAGCTCTAGATAAAGATTTTTTATTAGTTAGACCTATAACATTGATATCCTGTATAGGAGAACTATTTCAGAAAATAGAAAAAGTAGGTTAGATTAGACCCGCCTTTAATTATTTTGCAAACTACAATTCCAAAGTAGTTTCAGGTTCAGGTTTACATACAATAATGTTTAATCGTTGATAGCAACTGTACAATAGAATTTACTAAAGAATAAGATGATGTAGGGTGCCTTTTTAACCTTAAAAGGAGCGTACGAGAGCGTAGATCCTAATGAGTCTGATTAAAAAAGTGGTCAGCTTAGAATGTAAAAAAAAATCATTTTTGTTGCTTGATGGTTGACAAATAGAAAGATCCTCTGTAGAATACTAAATGGGGAAAATGTGACTATATTCAATAATACAGGGGTTCCACAAGGAGCTTTAATTAGCCCTTTCTTATGTAATTTATACGNGAAAGAAATTAGTCGTTACACTGAACAAATGTAACATGCTCAATGAAATAACAAACAACTTTTCAAGTTACAGAATAGATAAAATTATGAAAAATGCGAAAAGAATCAGAATTGGACTTACTTCGTTGGTAAGTGCACCTGCTCCTAGAGAACGTGAATGGGTCAATGGGTCGATCTTCGGTACTCGAAGACAGAAACACATGGTCCGCAGCAGCTGATGCTTGGAGCAAGTCAGTGACCTGCCGATTCGTTTCTTATCATCACGATCACTGTCACTTTCCCATTGACAAATTTTCACAAAACAAAAATTGTCAGTTTTACACTTTCCAAATTCACCGCCACTTTTCACTTTACAAATCCACTATCACATTGCACTTTGCAGTTGAAAATTTGCATACTCGATTTTATTTTAATTGTTAGTTCCGATCGGAATACCGTTCGCGGAACAATTCCGCTGCCGCTCTTGGATTATAACTCACTTACGCGTAAATAACGAACATTTTAGAATATTCCGTGTTCGTTAGGATACGCATCGTTCTATTTAGTAACGCAAGGCAAAGCCAACTGACCGCTCGCTCGAAGATTTTCTTCCAGAAAATCTTTCCCCACTCGGTGGACAAGTTCGGTACAGAAAATGTGTTTGTATTTTTCAACTGAACCTGCCCTTCGTTCACTTGACATTCTTAAAAATTCTTCACGTGCAGAACACTCGAACCGATGACAAGGGACAGTTCTCAGACTTGCATTTACCAGATGCGGACGATTGAATTTGGCTTTTGTCATACACGTTTGGCTGGACGCGCGCTGTTCGAGACCTTGCCATAAAATTGTAAAAAGGAAAAAAATCTGACTCTCTTCAATTACCCTTAGAAAGACTTTAGCGACAATAAACACTGCTTCCTAACAATTCAGCGCTGCAAAAAATATTGTTATGCAATTGAGTTATGAATTTTTTTTGCAAGGGAAAAATTACATTACTCATTACGCGAATACAACTCGGGAATGTGCATCACGTTCAGCAGTAGTTATACGAAACGTAGAAGGTAATCGTTTTCTGCGGTGAATTTTTGGAAGGCTGTGTTCTGTACCGTCAACGTCTTTTTAATAGTAATCGAAGAGAATCAGATATTTCCTTTTTATTTTATGGCAAGATCTCGAACAGCGCGCGCCCGGCATGCTGTGTACGACAAAATCCATATTCAGTCCTTCGCATCTGGTAAGTGCATTTCTGGATGGTGTCTCTTGTCATCGGTTCGAGTGTGCTATACGTGGAGAGTTCCTAAGGGTAACAAGGAAATGAAGGCCGGGTTCAGGTGAA